TCCCATTTCGAAAATTTTGCTGGATTTGGGATGGCTTCTCTTATTACCGGAGCTCTATGTGATTTTGTAATGGTGAGGCATTCTTCCTCACCGGTCGGTTCGGATGACGTGGGTCTTTCGGTCGGCCATGCTGACGGTTCTTTATACAGAAATGATGGGCCGCTGTACCACTCATGATTTGAGTCGAAGTTTGGTGGTACGTCCCTCGTAGCGGTGTCAGCTATATTCAATTTGGTAGGTACCCAGCGCCAGTCATCCACTTTACTATGGTTCTTTATGGTTTCCTCGCTCTTGTGCAGCTCATTGGCCGCGTGGACGCGCTGATACGGGGCTTTAGTGTGTGCCCCGTGTAGCACCCATCCTAATTCTGTGAGCGAGGCGATTGGTTGGTGCGGCGGGCCTCTGCGAATTTTAGTGGCTATCAGGAGTCTCCAATTATCTTGTCCTATTAAGATCTTTGGGTTGCCGGAGTCATATGTTAATTGCTCCTTCAGGTCTTTTAAATGTCTACACTTTTCTATATCGGTTGCACGCACAGTCTGTGGCCCCAAGTTTAGGCTGGCGACCGTGCGTGCTCTGAATTGCACCCTTTTCCTGTGGAGACTCTTGAGCGAAACTTTGACTCGTCGGGAGTTCGGCGAATCAAGGGTATTGTTCCCGATGGCGGTGATCTTAAAGGGGTCCAACCGCCCTGTTGCTCCAATTTGTTTGGCTATTTCCTCATCCATTAATGAGACTGTTGACCCGTCATCTAGCAGGGCGTGTGTATTTACAGCTCCCGCCGGTCCAATTACTCGGACTGGTATTATTTTTAAATAGGCGTGATGCTTTGACACGGCGAATGAATTTGCAACCGTTTCCTGAGGTTCTATTTGTGTGACCTCCGTTTTCTCCTTTTTATAATGGTGGAGAAGTCTATTGTGTGTCGCGGTGCATCCTTTTATTCCACACTTCGTGGTTTTACATTGGTGTGTTTGGTTTTTGTATCGCAAACATCGGAAACATAAATTATATTGTTTTGCGAGTTCCCATCTTTTGTCGGTATCCGCTTCTTTAAATTTGTTACAGTCGGATCCGTAGTGGCCTTCCTTTTGGCACACTCTGCACTTCGGGGACGGCTTAGTGGTAGCCGTGTGTGTCCTATATACTGGACGATTGTTCTGCGCCCCGTTTATGATTTCGGGAGGCGCAAATGCACTACAATAGCGAGCTTGTTCGGTGATAAACTCGCTGAAAGAACCGAGGTCTGGCCTAGAGTCGTATTTTTCGGTATAAACTTTATACCACTGTGCCCGTATAGAATTGGGCAATTTGTCTGTGAGGTGTCGTAGCAGCTCTGCGTTGATGAGATAATGGTCTCGTTTGAGTGCCCGTAGAGTGACGACGCTTCCCCTCACTTTGCTTGCGAATGTGCAAATATCTCTAGGCGCTTCTGTGCAGCGTGGCAATCCTCGTAACTTCTCGGTTTCAGCTTGTGCAATTGAGTCTGGACGCCCAAATTGTAGCTCCAGTTCTCGCATGATCTCATCTGGCTTAGCATGCCCGATGAGTTCCGAACTAACTGTCTCCAAGGCTCTTCCCTGTAGACTTCTTCGTAGTCTTGCCGTATTTTCGATATCGTTGAAGTAGCCTCGGGTTGTTTCATAAATGGCACGGAACGATAGCCATTCGGTATGTGCTCCGCTAAAGCACGGCAGTGTCATTATAGCTTTCGACGCTGCGAAAGTATGCGACGATGCACTCTCTGATTTTGGTTTGTCAGCGAGTGCGGCTATAGCGGATGTGAGCTCCGATATAAATGGTCGGAGCCCTCTGTCTTCATTTATGACAGATGCCTGGTTAGGCTTCGTTGACAGGGGATTCTTCGTTACGTCTGCCGGATAGGGATCCTGGTAGGTGAGCTCTGATACAGCTGGTAGGAGCTCCCTGTCTTCATCAACCTTCGATTCCTGGCTAATTTTTAGTGGCACAGGATTTTTGGGTACTTCTTCCGGATCGTGGTCCTGGTAGATGGGCTCTGATACGATTGGTAGGAGCCCCCTTTCTTCATCAACCCTCGAATCATTGTTTGTGAGTTTCTTTTGTGGCTCACTGAGGTCGACAACCTCCGGGGGTGGCCTTGTGACGGTTTTGTTTAGTGGGGCCTCCCCTCCGGTGGCGACGCCATGAGTTGGCTTTTGCTTGGCTACGCTATTTTCGAGCCAAGATCGGACGTACTCGCTTTTAGAGTGACCATCTTCATCATAGTCGTCCGAATCATCTTCTTCCTCAGCCATTTGCAAGGAAATTTGTGCGAGTTCCAATTTAATTCTCAGCACTTCTTCACGAGCCTTCAAAACTTTTTTATTGGGCCGAATAGTCCTCTTTGACTTTATACCTTTATTTCGGTGGCCCCTGGGTGGCTCTTCAGTGCGGGAGTCTTCCCGGACTGTTGGCGGTGATGCACATCGAATGTCATCGTTGCCCTCTATAAGCTTCATCTGCTTCGGTGTACCGGTTGTAGTGGCCGGCACGGGCAGGAGTACCCCCCCATCGCGGGGGCAAGGTGGCGCCTCAACGCCCTCTGTGGTCGATGGTGAGCGTGGTGGCATCTGGTGGCGGACGGCGTCGGTATTGTCCGACGGGCCTCCTTCCAGACCGACGGGCCACGCCATGGCTCCCCTTCCTTGCGAACGAGTGATCGGCATCTTGATTCTGAAAATTCTGCTGACTTTAATACGGTAGTGTCTATGTATCCGGCTCCGAAATACAAACGGATGAGGTATCCGGCTCGAAGGACCATAAAATGTGCCGGACGGGCGTAACTCTCCGGAGTAAATGTTGTCGGAGATACCCCGCGAGTCGCTCACGTCCTACACCTGTAGGTTCCAGACTCCTCCAACTGCCGTCTTTCACTGCCGTCTCTTTGGTTGCGGATAAACTGTGGACTGAGGTTCAAAATTAAAATGCACGATTTGTAAATTAAAATAGCAAGGGAGTGGCCAGCGGATCGACTAATTAATTTGTCGCGAGATTTTACACTGTTATTTATTTATCACTATTTTTTCAACTATGATTGTTCACTATATATTTTAAAACACAGATTTAATTAAACACACAGCAATATTAAAATTTCTATTGGTTTTCTAAAATTTCTATTCGTATTTTTAAAATATCTGTTGGTAATATCAAATTTCTATTGGCAGTAACAAGTTTCTATTGGTATTCTCTACAATTTCTATTGGTAATTTTAAATATCTATTGAAAGTAACAAATTTCTATTGCTAGTATCCAAAATTTCTATTGGTAGCAGCTGGTTTTCTAACACTACTGACTAGCAGCTATTAATCAACTAAAATTAGTTGAATTTAAACACTTTTGTAACTGCGAATATCAGTTACCACTTTTTCCGTCTAGCTAACACTTTTCACGAAATGTAACGGCGAAATTTCCGTTACCACTTTTTTCAGCTAGCCAACACTTTTTCACTATATGTAACTGCGAATATCAGTTACCACTATTTTTGGCTAGCTGACACTATTTTTCTATGTGCAACTGAGAATTTTCAGTTGCCACTTTTTCCGACTATGCGTAACTGCGATTTTTCAGTTACGACCTTTTTCGGCTAGCTAAACTTTTCTATTTCACTTTAACTTTTCACTGTGTTCTGCTACTAGTCACTTCAGCTACTACCGGATACTGCTGCTTGTTACTGGTAGTTCTTCCTACTACCATGTTACTGTGATTTGCCCCCATAAGGTAGACTTCGGCTATACTTTATAGAGAGCCGCTTGCCAATTTCCGGTTTTGCCCTTTTATTATCAAACATTTTCATTACGTAATTTGCACAAATTGCAATTTTTCTATATAATGCTAATTTTTACATTAACACGCTATACACTATAAAAGAGGCATTTTGGTCCTTTATCATTATGTGATAATATGGTTACTTGATATAGTTACATTCAAAAAAGTTATTAATCAAAATGTACCTAATTTACATAACAAAAGTGCACATTAAATCTTTAATTTTACTATATTTATCAAATGCGTTTATTTACACAAATTATCTATTTACTTATTTCAACCTATACACCATATGCTAACTAAATATCGTATTTACAATTCTCTCAGAACATAAAAATATTCTCATTATTTTCATATAAACTATTGCGCAGTTAATTAACTTCTAGAAAGTTCCACGATTGCTGCGCTGTGATTGGTCGAAATTTTATTTAATGTTTAAAGTCGTTTATATCAACTTATTATTAAAACGATACTTTATACAAATATATTACGACTTGTAAACATACTGTAAAACTATATTAAAACACAATTTGTTCGATTTTGTCGCTAATTTCACTTTTTAAAACACTTTAATATTCTTTAATCACTTTTTGCTTAAAGTCTTTAAACCGTCGCGAACAAATTTTATATTAAAAAAAGTTTTTGATATCATTCATAGGTACACACCGTAGTCAAAAGTGAACAATTGAAAACTATCAAGCGTGCACTGCTGTGTTCCAGTCTGACTGAAATAGAGAGCCAGTAAGCTAAGAAGGTGTGGCAAGCCTTTTTGTTTGAATTTGTCTTCAGGTGTTCGCGGTCTGCAGTAGCACTTACCATTAGGTGGACTGTAAGTTGGTTTACCACTTCGGTTTATAAAATAAATCACGATAGAATTAAGTCTGCAATCACCAACCCACCTACCCAGCACAATCAGTATGAGCAAATCTTTCCGCTACTTACGTCAAAACTTGTGTAATTTAGGTCATTCTTGAAAATATTTGCGCTTGACTATCTGCATAACCACTTACAATCAAGCGGAATATTATTCAAGCACTGGCTTATATAAGTAAAACAAAAAAAACCTGTTTCCAGTAACAGTAGCATGAGACTGGCAAAGAAGAACATAGTTTAAATTTTAAAATTATAGTATATTACAAATAAACATTATTAGTTATATCTGTTAATGTTTCAGTAATATTTATTATAAATTAACGCGTTTTACTATGACTTACCGCAAAGCATCCTTAGCCTTCTGGAGAAACAAAACATTAATAGCTTCAGTTTTTACGCAACCAGACGCATTCTCGTCGAAAGATTTGGTTTTACCATCCTCACTAATGGTCACAATCCTAAAATAAAATAGTTCAGCATAAGAAAAAGCTTATGATTTAATTAGAGCTCCTTTTCTGCCTCGATGTCGAGTTGATCTGGGATCAAGAATGGTGGTGGTGGGGTGGTGATGGTGCTCCACCCTGCATCCTCCTGCAAAGGGAGCGGGGCTTTGTTGCAGTGCAATGGGGTACTCTGGGTATAGTGGGCTGCAATATCTCTCCCAACAGGACCCTCGCCGACTACGAGGAGTAACTGGACGAGGTGGCGAATTGCGTGCGCGAGTGCTTACCCCATCCGTCGATCGTCTTAGGAGATTTTACCGCCCATAACAGGGCTTGGGGCAACTCTAGGGACGATCCAAAGGGAGAGATCATAATGAAATGGGCGGCTGGTCTGGACCTTCGACTATTAAATCGGGGGTCTGAGAGTACATGTGTGGCAGGGGGAGTCCATTGTAGACTTTACGTGGGCAACTCCTCCTGCAATGCGAATGCTGTCAGGATAGCGAGTGGCGACAGAGGTGGTGACACTGTCAGACCACCGCCACATCGTGTTCGATGTCACACCTCGCCACTTTGACAGTAACTCCAGTCGTCCAGAAGGCAGCCCACCGCGGCGTTGGTGTCTCAAGCGGCTCGGCCGAGACAAGCTCAGAAAAATCCGATGAAGTTCCGCTCGATCCAGAAGTGGAAGCGAACTGGTTCCGGGCTACGATGGCGCAAATATGCGACGTCGCGATGACCATAACTAGCCGTCCCAAGGGAAGGGCGGTGTACTGGTGGTCGGCAGAAATTGCACACCTTCGAGCGATCTGCTTGCGGAGTCGGCGCCAGTACACAAGAGCCCGAAGAAGAAGGCGAGCTCCACTTGAGGAGATAGCCGGACTCCACGGGGCATACCGAGCGGCTACAAAGGCGTTACAAATTGCTATATCTAACGCCAGGTCTCGGTCCTGGAAAGAGCTCCTAGAGGGACTCAACGAAAATCCCTGGGGGCGAGCGTACAGGATGGTGCTGGGAAAACTCCGGCCATGGTCGCTGCCCTTGACGGAAACTCTCGATCCGGACCTGCTGGGAAGAGTGATCGGCACGCTTTTCCCAGAGGATCGGTCAAGTCCCTCAGGTCACCTACCGTCGTCATTGGAGTGGCATGATGGAGGTGACCGTGGAGGAGCTGGACCGAGCCGTTAGCCGCTTGAGAGCCCGGATCACCGCACCGGGGCCTGACGGAATTCCTGGTCGGGCTCTGGTGATGAGTTTGGCTACCTTGGGGGACAGGCTAAGACAGCTGTTTACCGGCTGTCTGCGGAACGCCAAGTTCCCCACAGCATGGAAAGAAGCAAGGTTGGTCCTCTTGAAGGAGGAAGGCAGGGCCGCCGATTCTCCCTCTGCGTACCGTCCCATATGCCTGTTGGACGAGATTGGAAAATTGTTCGAAAGAATAGTTGCCACTCGGCTCAACAGGCATCTGTCGCGCGTGGGTCCCGATTTGGCAGAAAGATAATTTGGATTCCGACGGAAGCGTTCCACCGTAGATGCCATTATGCGCGTCCGCTCCCTGTCGGAACAAGCAGTATCCCAGGGTGGTGTGGCGTTGGCGATAAGTCTTGATATTGTCAACGCCTTTAACGCTCTACCCTGGGATACAATACGGAGAGCATTAGCACACCACCAGGTGCCTGCCTACCTGCAAGGCGTAATTGGGGACTACTTGCGCGACAGGTACATTCTGTACATGGTGCAAAATGCTAGGAATATACGGAGGGAGATCAAACGTGAGGTTCCGCAGGGCTCAGTGCTGGGTCTGCTACTGTGGAACCTCGCGTACGATGTGGTTCTGTGTGTCTACCTTCCTGCTGGCGTAAATATTGTGTGCTATGCCGATGACACACTGGTGGTCGCCAGCGGGGTCACGTTCGAGGGGACCAAAGAGCTCGCTGAGCTTGGGACGAAAGTCGTCGTCGCCAAAATCCACGAGTTGGGTCTAGAAATAGCGCCTCATAAGACTGTGGCCTTATGGTTTCACAAATTATCTCGGAGCAGGGAACCACCCGACTCGTGTGTCTACGTGGGTGGGTCTGTAGTCAAAGTGAGGCGGTACATGAAGTACCTAGGGCTCCACCTGGACAGCCGCTGGGGTTTCGAAGAGCACTTTGAGCACCTAGTCCCCCGGATTGAGAGGGTGGCAGGTGCTATGCACAGACTGCTGCCCAATCTAGGGGGACCGAGGGAGGAAATACGCCGCCTCTATGCGGGGTTATTACGGTCCGTAGCCTTATACGGGGCACCTGTATGGGCGAAAAGGCTAGGCATCCGGCGCTGTAGATCGAAAATCTACAGTGTCCAGCGGAGGTTGGCTATACGGATCGTGCGGGGATACTGCACGATATCTTTTGAGGCGGCTCGCTTCCCACCCCTAGATATACTGGCGGTGCGGATGCGAGGGTGTACAACACGCTTTGACAGAACGCTTTGGCGATATGGCGCACTCGACTCAACGAGGAGCGCTATACCCGCAAACGTGTTATCGCAATCCTGCCGGTCTTCGAAGCCTGGATGCAGCAACGAGTTGGAAGACTCACCTACAGACTTACACAGATAATTACCGGGCACGAGTGCTTCGGTGATTATTTGTGTAAGATCGGACGCAAAGCAACGGCGAACTGCTTCCACTGCGGTGGACAGGACCATGACTCCGCATCCCATACGCTGGCGGTATGTCCAGCGTGGGAACGGGAGCGAATGATCCTGGCAAACCGGGTCGGTCGGAACCTCTCCCTGCCAGCAGTCGTGTCGGCGATGTTGAGCGGGGACTTGGCGTGGAGGGCCGTAGCTTTTGTGAGTCCGTAATGGTCCAGAAGGAGTCTGCTCAGCGGGATCAGAGGAGGACAGATCCCACTCGGAAACGACGTCATCAAGGCGTTCGTCACGGCCCTCTCTTTGAAGATGGTGTTCCCCTACCAGAAACGGGGCCTCTGGGCTTGCAGGCGTTTGGAGCGGGGCCTCGAATGCCTAGGAACCCCCGAGGAGAACGATGGCTCGGAAGTGGTCTCGATACATCGTGATAGCACTGCGAAGGCGCTGGGGGTAGTAAGTTCTGCCCCTGGGACGTGCTTCCAATAAAGCAAAGCGAGAGAGGGGCCCCGGTTGCGTTCCGAACGGAGATGCCGGGACCCCTCGTACACGCTGATGGAGACCACCGTGGGGTTTTAGCCGGTAGGAGTCCGGCATAACCTTCCGGTTGCCCCTGCAGCCGGAGGTATCCATGAGGATTTCCCCACGAAAAAAAATAAAGGATCAAGAATCAGACTTGTCCCTAGATCGGGTGGTGGAATAAATAGCCTTAGCTTGGTTGTAAACGTGAACAAAGTCGAACCTTTTACCCATTTTTTTGATATAAGAGGGGGCAAACGAACATGCGGCTCATGGTAAATGTCGACAACCGCCCATGAACAAGTGTAACGCAAAGAGAATCGCAGATGCGTTGCCGGCCTTTTAAAAAGAGTAGGCTCATTTCTTGAACGTATTTTAGTCGTAAGATGTGCGAGAAAGAAAACTTTTTGTAAATTAAACAGTTTTTACGTGATATGGTGCAGCTATATTAATAGTACAGTTGTAGCACGAATGGTTCAGCTCGACCGAGGAAGGACCACGCTCTCACAGAATATCAGCGTAAATAGCAGCTTAATGCAGCTGTGTTGTGAGATAAGAGAACCGGAGACCCTTTTTACTGGAAAAGAGGCATTCTGTCTTAGCCCTTACGACTGACAACGCATCTGCATTTTAATTCGCAAACGAAGATAGATGTAGATGTCTATGGGTCACAGCAGCCACTTACCATCAGTTGGACTGTGTGCCCGTTTGTCACCCATATTCTTTAAAAAAAACAGTGGTGTACCGATAAAGATCCAGATGGTATGGATGGTATTGCGAATTAAGTCGCGATGTGCGATGGTGAAATTCAGCAGCTGGAATTAATCCGAACAATTCCTTAGAGCACTCCCCGTGGTAGGTGCGATAAAAAAGCAAACAGATGCAACATCTCTTCACAGTGCAATTAAATCAAGCCGATCAGAAAGAGCTTGATTGCGGACAATTTGAACCGCTCTGCGCTGGGTGCGATCAAACGGAAGGAGCTGGCACTGGCAGTATTCCATATGAGGCCGACCCTGCGCCTTGTAAAGTTGCAGGCGGTGTGCTGGCTTTCAAAAGAAGCACTTTGTGCCAAACCCGATTGAAGGCCTTCGTTATGCCAAACTAACGGTCAAGGCCTACCCCTTGGACACTACTGCCACAGTCCACCTATGAGTCAGATAGACCAGAAGATCACCAGCTAATCGACCTATGTTAATATATAGTGGTATATTGGACGTCACTAATCAGCTGGTGATTCTCAAGGTACCTAGCTAACAGTTTATAACGGATTCAATTATTTTGGAGAACAAGGAGGTGATGGCTATAGGCCTGTATTAAAATGTATCTCCGGGAGCGCTCGCATGTTTTAGGGATCCATCGGGTGGACCAAAGCTGTTTTCCATGGTTTCAGGACTACACCAAGGGCGTAGAAGTACCAGAAAAGACGTATTGAAACAGGTGCCAACTCCGGAACCCACGTCTTTAGCACAATAGGAGGGACTCCATCAGGCCGTCTTGTTGATGTCCAGAGAGAAGAATATTATAGAAAAGGGTGAATACATATTGGTGGAGTACATTGGTTCCGGTATCCTTTCACCGATCCGCCGCAGCCAAGGTAGAAATATAGAGAAAGAGTAGGGTGTGGCCAGTCATTTACTCTATACTCCGCGACTCTAACTTCCGGGCGCACATTATCCCTGGCCCCATGGTTTCCATGTATCGGACTCAAAAAGGTCCGCTGCGCAAGTGGATTAAAAACGGTGTAAGAAGCTGAAAATGAAGAAAATGATGGAAAAGCGTTGTTCCCTCCCAGAAAGCGCCACCAATACGTGACTGACGCTGATGGGGCCGCGAATGTGTGCAAAAGTGTTCCCGTGGCCCAGACTTTATGCAGTAGATATGGAATACCATAATGTTTTATTCGATGCGGGTTCGAAACAACTAATTCTTGAACCTGTGGAGCAGGTTTGGGTAGGTATTTCTCCATGAAAAAGTAAAAACAAACTTTACCTATTTTTTATGTCAAGCAACCTTGTAAGGTTACTGATACTATCGTTGTCTTGTTTATTACTGAAAACTCATTATAGCAGAGGGTAATGATGATGTTTTCCTCGACTTTTTTAAGTAAATTTAATTAAAATAACCTTCCATAATGCACCGGTACTTGAGGATGCAAACAAACATTTCCACTGCCAACAATAGCTGCCTCACACTCTCCACGGGTCATCGCGAGGTAAGCTTGTTCCAGAGCCGTAATAGAGCTGCAGCAGGACGAGTCGATAGTCATCGATGGCCCCTTGACATTTAGCCAGTAGGATATGCGATTTGCGAACATTGATTTATTGCATCTGAAATCATTATATATATTCCTTATTTTAATAAAAGCAAAATGACGGCTCCGTGGCGCAGGGGCTTAGCAATGAGTTGCTGCGCTGGGGGGCGTAGGTTCGAATCCCGCACGGAACAAGTATTTGTATGGACTACAAATAATTGTTCCGGGTCTGGATGTTTGTCCTTGTGAAATTTGTGTTTGTAAACTGCCTCCACGATACAGGAGAAAATCCTAGAGTGGGGGTAACGTTTTTGTAAAAAAAAAAATTGGGTCTACGGGTCACGCCGTTTAGTGGCCGTCAAGAATATCCACTACCCCAATTCTTCCCGTGGGTGTCATAAAAGGCGACAAAGGGAAACAGGCAGGAGATGGGCAGCAGCATCTTCCTGATAGTAGCCAAAATTACAATAAAAAAACTACGGTTGCCAACCCGCTCGCCAAGCGTGGCAACTATGGCAAATACCCCCCTATGAAGAGAGTAACAAAGAGACGGCCCGCAGTCCCCGACGGCCCCGCTATTCCTGGCTACGGTGGCGACCATGGTAACGGCGGGGCAGGGGGTGCTAAGAATCTCCGGTGGAGGTTCAGTTGCCACCTTAGACGACTCGACCTGACAACGTACAACGCAGGCACCCTGAGGACTGACGAGAAGATCGTGGAGCTAGAAGAAGAGATAGACCAGTTACGCTGGCATATTATAGGATTATCCGAAGCCCGAAGAGAGGGGGAGGACACGGTAATCCTCGAATTCGGCAACTTGTTCTATCACCGGCAGGGCGACCATCTGTCCCAAGGAGGTGTCGGATTTATCGTCCACGAGTCTCTCATTATCAACGTTGTAAAGATCGAGAGTGTGTCGACGAGGGTTGCGTAACTTATACTCAGAATCACCAAACGGTATTCGCTGAAGGTCATACAGGTTTACGCACCAACCTCGGCACACCCCGATGAGGAGGTGGAGGAAATGTATGAGGATATCTCTAGAGCCATGCATTCCTCCAAAACCCAATATACGGTGTTAATGGGAGACTCCAATGCAAAACTAGGCACAAGAGAGAACGGTGAGCTGAAAGTAGGTAAATTTAGAATAAGGCAACGGAATCCAAGGGGCCAGCAGCTGGTCGACTTCATGGAGAAAGAGGGACTCTTTATGATGAACTCTTTCTTCCAGATGCGGCCCCACATGAAGTGGACCTGGTCGAGCCCCGACGGTTCGACTAAAAATGAGATTGACTTCATTATGACGACCAGACCACAACTGTTCAGTGATTTCTCCGTGATCGCGAGGGTGAAAACTGGTAGCAATCACCGAATGGTTAGAGGCACACTGAACCTAAACGTTAAATTGGAGAGGTCTCGTCTAATGAAGTCAATGCTCCGTCCCCCTCGTGCTCTGTTTCAAAGTCCTGAAACCTTTCAGCTCGAGTTACAAAACCGTTTTCAGTGCCTAGAAACCTGCAATAAAGTGGACGATATGAATGACAAGCTCGTGGAAACTGTCCTTGCGGTCGGAACTAAGTAATGCATCTCCTCCATCCCATCACGGGAGATGAAGATACATTCTTCAACAGATTTGACAGCATACAGGCAACTGAACAGACAGATCTCCAAATGCATGCGGCGGGGCTTACGCAACTTCAATACAGCTTGTATTGAAGAAGCCATCGAGCGGAACCAAGGCTGCAAAGTCTTTGCCAGAGATCTGTATGCCACAAAGAGCCAACTGTCAAAGCTGAGGACCGAGTGTTGCAGTATCGTTTCCGTGGCACTTGAGATTTTTAGTGAGATTGAGAGGTTCTATGGGCAGCTGTACACGTCATCGTTGGAGCCACACGCAAGTGTGAGTAAAGATCCAAGAGCGAGTCTTATCCGACACTATTCCGAAGATATCCCGGACGTCAGTCCGAGTGAGATTAGAATGGCTCTCCGGCATCTTAAAAACGGCAAGGCCCCAGGCGAGGATGGAATTACAGAGGAGCTTCTGAAAGCGGGTGGAAAGCCGATACTTGAAGTCCTTCAGAGGCTCCTTAATTCCGTCCTCCATGGTGGTATTACACCGGAGGCGTGGAGCAGAAGTGCGGTGGTCTTGTTCTTCAAGAAAGGTGACAACGCTCTCTTGAAGAACTACAGACCGATTTCCCTTGAGCCTCGTCTACATGCTGTTTTCGAGAGTCATTACGAATCGTCTCGCGCACAGACTAGGCGACTTCCAACCTCCCGAACAAGCCGGTATCCGGCTTTAGCACCATAGACTACATACATACCCTTCGGCAAGTTGTACAAAAATCCGAGGAGTACAATTTGCCACTATGCCTGGCGTATATGGACTATGAGAAAGCCTTTGATTCCGTCGAAATTTGGGCAGTGCTGCAGTCCCTTCAGCGGTGTCAAGTTGACTGTCGGTATATCGAACTGCTGAAGTGCTTGTACAGTAGGGCTACGATGGCTATCCGAGTACAGAACCAGAGTACGAAACCTATCCAATTGCAGAGAGGTGTAAGACAGGTTGACGTTATATCCCCGAAATTCTTCACCGCTGCATTGGAAGACGTTTTCAAGCTTCTGGACTGGAAAGGATACGGTATGAACATCAATGGCAAGTACATCACTTACCTTCGAATTGCCGACGATATAATCCTCGCTGGAGGATCTAAGCACCATGCTCAATGACCTCTATAATGTCTGAACGTGGACAAAACAAAGGTCATGTTCAATGTCCATATCACACCTATGCTGGTAGTTGTTGGGAGCACTAAGCTCGAAGTTGTTGACGAGTACGTTTACCTGGGACAAATAGTCTGACTAGGTAAGTCCAACTTCGACCGAGAGGTCAATCGACGGATTCAACTCGGCTGGGCAGCGTTGGGGAAACTACGACACATCTTCTCGTCAGACATTCCTCAAACCTTAAAACGAAATTGCACAACCAGTGCGTGTTGCCAGTGATGACTTACGGATCTGAGACGTGGTCCTTCATTGCTGGCCGTATGAGGAAGCTCAAGGTCGCTCAGCGAGCTATGGAGAGGGCTATGCTCGGAGTTTCTCAACGTGATAAACTTAGAAATGAGAATATCCGCAGTAGAACCAGAGTGACCGACATACCCCAACGGATTAGTAAGCTGAAGTGGCAGTAGGCCGGCCATATAGCTCGAAGAACCCACAACCGATGGGGAAAAAAGGTTCTTGAGTGGCAGCCTCGTACCGGTAGTCGAAGTGTAGGGCGACCCCCCACGAGATGGAGTGACGACCTGGTAAGATATGCAGGAAGTCGATGGATGCAGGTGGCTCAGGACCGTGCTTTGTGGCATTCCTTGGGGGAGGCCTATGTTCAGCAGTGGACTTATGAAAGGCTGAAATGATGATGATGATGAATTGGGTGTAATTTGAACCCCTCGGTCGAAGTTAACATTTAATTGAGATGTCATTGATGTGTGTTTCTGATTGTTGTGAAGTGCCTGCGACCGTACAATTTACCATCACGGAATGTGTTATTTGATGAATAATCGTAGTGCATTATTTTTTTTTGTTTTACCTACCATATATACTTAGATATAGATTTCTTTGTAACTGTAAGGCGTCAACCGTATTACACGTTTTTAAAGTTCGAAACCGTGCACATCATTTTTCTCCTGAGCTACTCGTATCTTTCTCCAACATTGATACTGAATGGTAAACCTTTTATTCTTACAATTTAGCTTATTAAAAGTCTACTACAAAGGCCTCCCACATAGATTACCTGGAGCGATATTAGCCATAGTTCACACGCTTGGCAGGCGGGTCGCCAACCGCATTTTTTATTTTTAAGTTATTGTTAAGAAGAAGTTGTTGCCCATCTCCTGCTTTATTTACCTCTGTCGTTTTTTATGACGACCCGGATCGCCACTACATGGTTTCGTGTCCAGTAAAAAAAATCTCCGGTTCTCTACTTTTATTTTAAAAAACATAGAGGCATTAAGCTGCTATTTCACGCTGATATCCTGAGAGCGCATGATCTTTCTAGGGATGTAGTTGAAGATGGTAAAACGCGCTCACTTAGCTAAACAAAAGCAAACATTGAAGTTGGACGGAAATAGAGATGTTGACAAATTATTCCGTTCCATTGGTTAATACGGTGTGTGGTAGTACAAACCTAATGCCCCTCACTCAGTTGATTGCTTCCGATTCCTCTAAAGTTGTCAATATAGTTGGATAGTGGAATGGGAAAAATAATAAATACTAGCAATCCTCCTCGTGTGATTTCTGGATATCATCAACAGCGCCACCTACCGGGTGCGATTGTGAATCTAAACCATCCAGAGACCCACTCAAACACAAAATAATTTCATCCATATCAGTTTAGCTGTTTTCAAGTTTTTGCGAAACTAATGGACATCAATTGATCTTTATATATAGAGATTATTAACACTTGTTTATGAACTTAAATAGTTTTTTTTATATATCCTTACATTTGGTCGCGGCGCAAGTAAATTCATAGCCTGTATGTGTCATAATCATAAGAGACGATAAATAGGAAATGGTGCAATATTCAAAGCAATATATTATGTATATTTCAAAAATAACTAATCTCACCCAGCGATACCGAGCCCATTTGCAGATCGTGACTTGTAGAAGCAAGTCTTCTCAGTTTCAGAAAAACAAGTGCCTATGTACACTCCAACTTTTTTTCCTGAGAAATGTTCCGGGTTCACACCTAAACAAAAATTGATAGCATGTTCAGTGCATTGTTAAATCATGGAGTGTATGGTTAAATTCGATTTTGTAAATAAAACTTATTTTACGGATTTTATCGCGTATATTAACTTATTTTATATTTCCGACGTTTCGGATTTTTTCCAGCACCCGTGGTCATGGGGGACTGAGGCGTTTGACGTCCTGCTGTTGTAGTTAGCCCGGCTACCTTCAGTTTTTTAATATTCATTTTTGGTTCGATTTACGCAGAATGAGCTTACAGTATCTTGAAGTCTAGCAGTGGTATACTTGGGTTTGGATTTGATTTTATCAATTATGGGATCCCAAGCAGATGGCAGCACCCATCCATCTTCTCTATTGAAATTAGGATGTTTTTTTTTTAATTTCAACATCCTCGCGAATCATCCTTGGGAGGAATCGGTGTTCTTTTGCGAGGATTTGTGGTCTATCAAATCTAATGTAATGCCGGGGACGATCTTGAACATGTTTACAAACTGCAGACTTCCCGATACGTCGGTGCTTCACATCAGCTATATATTCTTTAACGCAGGTTTTTATAGATATTTTTGTTTGTCCTATGTACGAGAGACCACCTTCACAATCCAGCTTGTACACTCCTGCAACTTGTAGAGGGATATGACACTTGACGGATGGTAAAAATTGACCAATCTTCTTCAGCGGCTTCAGGTATGTTTCAATGGAAGCTCGCTTCAAGATGTAGCCAACTTGTCTGTGACTCCTCTGACATAGGGTAGTACAGCAGGTACACGCTCGACTGTGGCTGGCTTCACTCGGTCACTGTGACGTAGGCGCGGGACCCGAAGCTTGTTATCTTGCAGTACTTGCTCGACGTGCTGAAGCTCGGCGGCCAGATGTTTTCTGTCACAGATCCCTCGTGCTCTCTGAAACAAAGATTTTCCCACGGTAGCTAACTGTGAAGGATGATGGTGCGATTCACCATTTAAATATCGTTTGGTATGGGTATTTTTTCTGTACACAGTATGACCAATAGTGTTATCAGGATTTCGGATGACTAAAACATCTAGGAAAGCTAAAGTATTGTTTGCCTCTAACTCCATTGTGAATTGTATTTTAGGGTCTATGGAATCAAGGTGATTTAAAAATGCAGTTACTTTGTCAGATGATAAAATTGTGAAAGCATCGTCTACGTACCGCTTGTAGAATCTTAGATTTACAGGAGCAGTAAGAAGGGCTTTCTCCTCAAAGTCCTCCATGAATATGTTGGCGACTACGAGAGATACAGGTGAGCCCATTGCCACTCCTTCTACTTGCATGTAGAACTCTTCTTTCCACAATAAATAGCCAGATGTGAGGCAGTGTTTGAGTAATACTGCATATTGTGTGGACATGTTGTTATCTTCTAGCTTTCTAGTAACAATTGAGATGCAGTCTTCAATAGGTTGGCATGTGAATAGTGACAACATCAAAACTGACCATAGTTTCATTGTCAGCGAGATGTAGGTCTTTTATCTCACTAACAAAATGGCATGAATCCTTTGTGTGTGCTCTGGTATGTCCTCTTAGTGGTGACAGTATTTTTGCCAAGTGTTGAGCCAACTTAATCGATCTGGTTTACTATAGGACGTAGTGGAGCGTTTGGTTTGTGTATTTTCGGTAACCAATACAATCTCTGTGGTTTGGCACATGATGGTATTGTCGAATTCACGTCCAGATCAAATTTTTCGGAGTATTTCTTTATTAAATCAGTAGTTGTTTTAAGTGTATTATTTGTAGGGTCTATTTTGACCTTTTTGTATGTACTTACGTCCGATATAAGTTGTTGTATTTTGAAATTATACTCTGACGTGTCCATTATTACTGTAGCATTTCCTTTATCTGCGCGGAAAATCGTTTGCTCTGGTCTGTTGCGTAAGTTGTACAACGCTCTACATTCGTCTTTGAGAAGATTTAGTCATACTGTGTATAGAAAAATACCCATACCAACCGATATTTAAATGGTGAATCGCACCATCATCCTTCACAGTTAGCTACCGTGGGAAAATCTTTGTTTCAGAGAGCACGAGGGATCTGTGACATAAAACATCTGGCCGCCGAGCTTCAGCATGTCGAGCAAGTACTGCAAGAGAACAAGCTTCGGGTACTGCACCTACGTCGCAGTGACCGAGTGAAGCCACCCACAGTCGAGCGTGTGCCTGCTGCACTACCCTATGTCAGAGGAGTCACAGACAAAGTTGGCTACATCTTGAAGCTTCCACTAAAACATACTTCAAACCGCTGAAGAAGTTTGGTCAATTTTTACCATCTGTCAAGTGACATATCCCTATATAAGATGCAGGAGTGTACAAGCTGGATTGTGAATGTGGTCTCTCGTACATAGGACAAACAAAAATATCTATAAAAACCTGCGTTAAAGAATATATAGCTGATGTGAAGCACCGACGTATCGGGAAGTCTGCAGTTTATGAACATATTCAAGAACGTCCCCGCCATTATATTAGATTTGATAGACCACAAATCCTCGCAAAAGAACACCGATTCCTCCCAAGGATGATTCGCGAGGCTAGTGAAATTAAAAAACATCCTAATTTCAATAGAGGAGATGGATGGATGCTGCCATCTGCTTGGGATCGCATAATTGATAAAATCAAATCCAAACCCATGTATACCACTGCTAGACATCAAGATACTGTAAGCTCATTCTGCGTAAATCGAACCAAAAATTAATATTAAAAAACTGAAGGTAGCCGGGCTAACTATGACAGCAGGACGTCAAACACCTCAGTCTCCCGTGACCACGGGTGCTAGAAAGCACCCGAAACGTCGGGAATATAAAATAGGTTAATATACGCGATAAAATCCGTAAAATTAGTTTTATTTAAATGTGTAGTGTTCGCGTAAATATAAGAAATCATTAAATTCGATTTTGACAAATTTGATTATATTTCTTTGCTTCTTTTTCATTAAAATAAATTGCTATTATTTTTTCTGTTGTTAAATCCTTTGTTCTTAGTCTAGTAGCCAACTTTCTCTTTGGTCTAATGGTCTAATAGTCTGATCTCTATCCGGTCATGTCGGATTACCATCCTATCGGACTATGACAGTGAACGAATGGAGTGAACCTGCACTTGCGCATACACTTGGGCAGCAGATCCTTTCCTGCGCAGATGGCTAGCCTAAGTTGAGAGGGGCCGCCGTGACCACAATGCGGTCAGGAGAACATTGTCCTTGGTAAGCGACAGAAAGCAAAAAAGTTATAAAGTAATGCAACCTACACTATACTCTTGTCGCAAACTCAAACTGATAAGACTACACAACTATCGTTGTACTAAATTATTGTTCATATACTCGCACTGTGTCGCGTCAAGTATATCAGTAGCGAATTTAAAGTAAAAAGCACCTTATAACCAATGCAATAAGACATCCTTTTTATAGGAAATATTTAATTAAAATAATATAATCCTATTATTAAAAAAAAACAATTTGACGCGCCTTAAGCTTAAATCCACTGCTAGTTAACTGCAAAGTAGATAAATCGTTTAGTATCTTACGTATCTTTTTTCAATAAGCATACGTCTTGACCGTGTAATAACATAAGACTAATAATTTATTTGTATCTTCAAGATTATTTAATACATATGGGTACTACACCGTTTAAAAAAGGGCAGTTAACATACCCGCATCGTATATCGCTTGGTATGCTTGTTCAAGAACCTTGCGAGCCATCGGGTCCATTGTGTGTCCCAGACGATAGTGAACCTTGAAGAACTGGGCATCAAACAGATCCAAATCTGGTATTCGGCCAGCATATTGTGCGACTTCAGGGTGATTATAGTTCCACCGTGGATTCGATGAAACAGGATTTTTCTGGACAAAATCGAGAGATATTTTAAAATATCCGCCGTCCTTAAATCAATTATAGTCTGATATACTCGTATCAACATTTAAAATATTTAAATAGACAAGTTACAATCGAGTTAATATTCATTTCAAATTCATTGATATTCAAAAATTATTGCATTGCATACAGATGTTAATGCTGCTGTATTTCGTATAAAGAACCGGAGACCCTTTTTACTGGAAACAAGGCAGTCCATCTTAAACCTCAGAGGTGAACACGCATCTGTATTTTGATTACTAACCGAGGATAGATGTACTCGTAGTAGATATCTATGGGCCTTAGTATCCACTTGCCATGTGGTGAACCGGGTGTTCGTTTATCAATGATAAGCTACATAAAAAATTATAAGTTATTTATTTTACTCTTTGAGTGGGCTATGGAATATGACGATCTCAATGCCGTATAAATAGTTACATTAAAAAATTAAAACCTCTTCCCCTATTTTGCCACTCTTAAAAGTGGATTTTATAAAATTTATTTTGGGTCATTCCATAAGTATAACTATTTAATAAAAAAGGAATCATCAAAAGCGATTCACTATTGATGAATGTATCGCGTATACAATACATCCTTTGGTTAGGCTCTTGACGCCGTAGTGAACAGTCGTGTCCCTGCAAGTTGCGCATCAAAACCAGTGTTATAGACCCCTGCCTTACGAGTTTTATACGCCTCTATCGTGTCTACGGTCGCTGGACATTGCTGCCGCGGACTAACCAACGACGTCGACCTCTCGCTTATGGACGTTAACGTGGTCACTCGGTGTCTCGCACAATTGGTTTTTGTGAGTGTATTGTATTCGAGCGCAGTGTGTAATGACGTGTACATCATAATGTCCAAGACTTTGCCGTACACCGCCCACTACACCGACTTCGTTAATGCAATCCCAATCAGATCCAAATATCGCTATAATGAGCAATACGACTAAGGAGAACATTAATGTGAATCCACGTAATAAGCGCCCAAGGTGTGAAGCCTCCCTCATCAATGAATTACACAATTTTAAGGAAGGATTAAAACGAGAAATCGAAACTATGTTTGCCTCGTGGAATGAAATTCAAACAAGTACATTATCTAAAAAAAATAGAACAACAACAATCTACTATCTTGAACAAATTGGTGTCCGAGGTAAATGAGTTAAAAACACAAAAAACAAAATTGAAGAAATCCTTTCTTGAGGTAGAAAAATCGGTAAAATTCGTAAGTGCACAATACGATGACATGTCAAAGAAGGTTCTCGACCTGGAAAAGGGAAATTCTTACCTAACGGAGAAAATCAAGACACTTGAAAATACCATCAAAGATCTACAACTTTGTTCCCGTAGCTCCACTATAAAGATCAGAAATATCCCCCTTAAAGACAATGAAACACTAGGCTACCTTGTATCTGTTGTTACTGGAATTGGAAAAATAATTGACGAAAATGTAACCGCAGCAGATTTCAGGGATTTGCGACGTGTGCCCGGAAAACGGGGAGTACCAAAACCAATTCTAGCAGAATTCACGAATGTCAACATAAAACAAAGCTTTATATCCAGCACGAGGAATTTCAACAAAAAGTCCAAGAATAAAGACGACAATCTGAATACAGAATTCATAGGTATCTCGGGGACCCATATGCCCATATATGTATCTAAGTTCCTGCCACTACAAACGAAGAAAATTCTCTTCCGGACACAAGAATTTGCAAAAGCCAATGGGTACAAATATTACTGGACTTCCAACGGAATTGTCTACCTTAGGAAGAAAGAAGGAAACAAGCAAATTATAGTGAAATGAGAACAAACCCTGATAGATCTGCAGAAGACCGTATGACTAGACCAAGCTTATTTTTGTAATTTTGCTGTTTTATACCTAAGATTTTTATTTAATCATTACTTTAATGTCGTCATTGTTACTTTCTCACCATACACAAATCCTATCCAAATACACTATTCTTACAACCGCTCTCACAATTACATTCTCTAACACACACACACTCTTCCAATCATAACTACCACATAACACACTCATATGATCCATTAGTCATCACAAAGTTATATTTAAAGCTTACTAGTACCTATATAATGCATTTAAAATAGTTCAAATACGATAATATGTTACCCATGCTTAGTAGTTCAAATCCTCATAAATGGCTAACAATATTCTAAGCAATGAAATTGAGGATATATCTATTTCCCAAGCTTATAAATGTGAACCGCTGAATTGCCAAATGTACATTAATTACAGCTTAAAATCTTTTTCCCTTCTGCATGTCAACATTAGAAGCATCAATAAAAAATTTAATGAATTCCGTTTGCTATTATATGCACTAAATATAACCTGCGATGTTTTGATTCTTTCTGAATGCTGTACGAACCCCATCCGCAACCAAAACGATGGCGTTGTGATCTTCATTAAGAACTCCATTACACATACGGTATATCAACCTAACTTTAATGATGCAAACTGTTTAATCTGCACTTTAAATAAAAATCTAGCTATAGTAGGCTTATATATATCCCCTTCATTTCAAAACACCGATATTTTATGGACAGTCTGAATACTGCGTTAAATAATTTATCAGCAATAAATAATATCATCGTAATTGTCGACATAAACATAGATATTAAAGTAAATAATTGTGACCTAAACTCGAATGATTATTTAAATCTTATGGCATCTCATGGAGTGTTACCAGCACATCAGATTCCGACTAGATTAGATAACTGCTTAGACCACGTCATATTAAAAACAAGGTTCCGATCCACAACTCTTGTTATAGAAACATCATTAACTGACCATTTTTCAGTCCTCTTAAATTTAAATCTAAATCCTGTAAACCGTCGAACAAACCGAATTGGCAATAAAATTAATTTTCCTCAAGTTGCACATTATATAACTAGCACAGACTTTTCTAAAATTTTTTCGTTCGACGATGTCAATAAGGCGACCGATCTGTTCCCAGACACGTTAATCTCTATAATGAAAAGAAATACCATTTGTTTCACAATTACATGGAGACAGCGAACTATAAAGCCCTGGATAACAGGACTATTGAGGTGCATAAGAAACAGGGACCGCATGCATAAAATCGTCAAACGTAACCCAAATAACATGATACTGGAAAAAACTTATAAACGTTACAGATATGTTTGTACTAATCTTGTTAAAAATCTCAAGAGAGACTACGAGAGATCAGAATTTGCTAAGGCTAAGAAAAGGCCTAAAAACATGGGAGATCATTAAAAACGTTACTTATACAAATAAAGTAACCGATCCACCATTAGAACTTTTAAATTTGCACGATGATGCTAAAGTATCTGTTGATGCCGTAAATTCATTTTTCGCAAATATAGGGAAAAAACTTGCAAATAAAATTAAATCCAATTTAAAATTAACTGACTTACCATCTAACTTCTTGCACTCTCCATCACATTCTATGGTTATCCTCGAAATTGATAAAGACGAAGTACATGATGCTATTATGAGCCTACGAAATGACAGTGCTGTCGGGTGGGGTGGTATACCAGCCCAAATTTTTAAATCAAGCCCAGTTCTTACACCTATCATTACCCACCTATGTAACTTGACGGTATCCACTGGGAAGTTTCCTATCGCCTTGAAAAAGGCGATTGTACATCCTATTTATAAAAGTGGGGACAGAGGCAGTGTTACAAATTATCGCCCAATTTCTGTCTTGCCAACCCTGTCTAAAGTATTTGAGCGTATCCTAAATCGCCATTTAGTTCGCTTTCTCGAATTAAATAGCTTAATCTCCAAAAATCAATTTGGCTTTAGAAGGGGTAGGTCTACTGAGGATGCTGTTGCTTCCTTAGTTGGGCATGTAGTCACCGAACTCGACGAAGGTAGGAAATGTCTGGGTATTTTCCTAGACCTTTCTAAGGAATTCGACTCTTTCCCACTACTGTTAAATAATTTGGAAACGCTGGGTGTCAGGGGTCGTATCCTAGAAATATTTGCTGATTACTTATCAGGTCGGACGCAGTGCACAACGATAGGTTCTTTCGTCAGCAAACAAGAATCCTTTTAATTTGGTGTCCCTCAGGGTAGCATTTTAGGGCCCACGTTATTCCCGTCCTATGTAAACGAGCTTTGTGACTTACCTCTATCCGCATTGTTACTTATGCTGATGACACGGCCCTTGTTGTTTCTGGGAACAACTGGTCCGAAACAATTAATATAGCAGAGAATAATTTGAGAATTATTATGACGTGGCTAAGTCGTAATCTTCTAACCTTAAATATAGATAAGACTAAATTAATAACCTTCTCTATAAAATCCTCTGCACAACCATCAAGCGAGTGTTTCGATATGCGAGCTCACAATTGCTCCAGTGGGACTTCTCATTGTAATTGCCCAAAATTGCAAAGAACCCATACCATTAAATACTTGGGTATTCAAGTGGATAATTGTTTGAACTGGTATAGTCAAGTAGAATCCGTTGCAAGTCGGTTACGCAACCTAATCTATATCTTTAAAACATTACGTAGCTCCACGGATGCCGACATCCTGTCATCTGTGTACACCGCCCTTTGTGAGTCAATCATAACATACTGCATTCCGATATGGGGTTGTGCCTCCAAGACTACCTTCATTAAAATTGAGCGCGCGAAGAGGGCAGTGCTAAAGGTTATGCATAGGCGGCCTTGGAGATACCCGACCAAACAACTTTATATGGATTGTAATGTACCTACAGTTAGGCAACTTTACATCCTTCGCACCATTCTGCGTCTACATTCAACAGTACCTCCAAATAGTTCTTCCACGCCAAGGAGGCGTCAAAAAGCAGCATGTCCTGTCAAAACATGTAGGACTTCTTTTGCTAAAAAGCAATTATCCTTCTCAAGCTTCGACGCACACACACACACACACAAACACACACACACACACACACACACACACACACACACACACACACCATGCCATACATATTCATCACCGAACTTAATAGTTTTTCTTTAACTGT